ACGTATCAAAAATATATATTTTAAAATAACATTTTTATATTTAATATAATATAATATTAATATTTACATATATTTGGATAAAGAGTAAATGTTGTACATCCGTTTCACTTTTGCACTCATTCTCTCTGTCTACTTATTTTTTGCTTATTGATTGCATTTTCTTGCAATAATAACAGAAATTTTATTTATAGACCTCTAGATTTTAAATGTTCAACACGTAAATTAGTGTCATCCCAAATTTTTTGCCCAGAAGTATTTAATCCCCAAAAACTTACCTGTTTAAAAAAAGGTAAAAAAGGGCGCCAAGTTCATGCACTAATTGTATTCACTAATTGTATCCAACTGTCATATTGTCTACAAAAATAGTGATATCAAAAAATTGCGCCGACTAAGAATAAAAATTTGTACAAGATAAATAGTAAAAAAAATTTTAATTAAAAAAACTTGGCGCTGCCAATTTTATTAATATATTGTTCAGCTTAAAAGTCTAAATTTACAAATCCAGAAGATCTTAAGAGAATTAATAATAAATGTCCAGCAATTATATTTGCTGTTAAACATATATTTAATTGGAATATATATATATATATATATATATATATATATATGCCAATATATATATTCCAATTTTATTGGCAGCGCCAAGTTTTTTTAATTAAAATTTTTTTTACTATTTATCTTGTACAAATTTTTATTCTTAATTGGCGCAATTTTTTTATATCACTATTTTTGTAGACAATATGACAGTTGGATACAATTAGTGCATGAACTTAGCGCCCTTTTTTTACCTTTTTTTAAAAAGGTAAGTTTTTGGGGATTATATCACTTTTTTTTTAAATTTGTTAAAAGATATTATATTAAAAATATTTTGTATATACTCATATATATATATATAGGTATATTCTTTTAATATATAAGCAAATTATATAAAAATATATATAGAATAAGTATATATAATATACATTATATATATATATATATATATATATACATATATATATATATAAAATTAATATATTATATTTATATTTACATTAGCTTATAAAATAACAAAGATTTGGAAAGAAAAAACATTAAAAAATTATTAATGTAATTCTTTCTTATGCTTATTCTTACATATAGAAATATAAATTAATATTAATATTTTAAAAACAATTAATCTAAGTATTTATTATTTAATTTTTTAATTTGACATTACTCCAAAAAATGCGATTAATTTTATTAAAATGCTACATGTCACTAATGACACATATGATATGACATGTCATTAATATCGATCGATATCGAAAAGCGTCGCTAGCGCAATCTTCTGTCGAGAGTAGGAAAAGGACGTTTTCTCTTTCTATGTGTTGTGTACATGTGCGTGGATGACGACCATGATAAAGACGTTTCTTAATTGAAAATTTTCATATTTCGACTTTGCATTATGATATCTCCGTTAATAGATCACGCAGCGCAAAAAGAAAGATACTTTCTTTATACAATTCAAACTCGCTCTATCGATTAAGACTAGTAAGAATTCGATCCTTTCAGCCGTTATTGAAATCCGATAATCTAAGTTACTCTCAACTGTCCGACTCGCGGATAGATACACGGAGTGCCGCGCAATGCTTCGCATGAACTTGGCGCGAGACACTACCGTGTCTTGATAATGTTTCTCACTGTATTGTTTGCAGTGTTATTACATTTTGTTGAAGATGTTTTGTCATTTCCTATGTCTGAATTTCCTGAATCTGCGTATAGCAATAATCAGGATCTTTGTTTCATCCCTGTTGCAGTCACTATTAAAATTATCCACATTCGATATTTGATTAAACTGTTTATTATTAGTATATTGTATATTAATTCTATCGTATCAATAATATCATTATTATTTGCTTTATCTCTATTATCATCTTTATTAGCATCTATATTATCATTGTTATTATTGTAGCATTCAATAATTATTAACTACTATTGTTATTTTTATTTTCCTTATAACAATTTAAAATATTATTTAGAGATATGTCTAAATTATTTCTATTAATTTTTTTAATTTTTACTATTATCTTTATTTAATTATGACTAGTACATATAAATTGCATTGTGGAAGTAATCACCTCTTAATATTCGTAATGTACAAATTCCATATTCAAAAGACTTCTTCAAAAAAAACAGTTAAAAAATATTTCTAATATTTATTTGTATATTGTAAAAGTTACAAATAAATAAAAATTAAATCAAAATAGGTATAAGAACCACCACAATGCTGTAGTTGACACGCAGGGAAAGGAACAACACTTCCTTATTGTGTGTGATTGTTGTTTATTTCAAATTTAAAAACATAAATAAAGACTGTTTCGAATTGTCTTTGATCCTCCTTTTTTACAAATCTTATTGCAGTGAATTCGTCGGACTTTTTGTCTCTCAGTAACAGGTTTCTTCAATCAGAACGCGCTTTTAATAATTCACACAAAAATTTCATTTTTTATGAAAGAACTACGGTTTATGCCAATTTTGATTTAATTTTTACTTTTTATTTGAGCCAAATTCCTAATTGTTAAATTACGAAAAAAATTTGCTCAACATCTTCACGGGAAAGGAAAATAAATCACTCCTTATTAAGTGCGGTGAATTCGTTAGAATGACTTTTTGTCTTTCAGTAACAGGTTTCTTTAATTAAAACACTAGTCGCTTGATAATTCATACAAAAATTTCGTATTGTTTTGATAAAAGAACTACGATGATACAAGAAGAAATGAAGTGTCGCAATTTGTGTTCGCATTTATTAAGATCATAGCTTCTTCTCTCTACTGAATAGCTGAATATTTTAACGAATAAAAAAAATTCGATTATTCTCTTCTTAAAAAATGGTTTTTGGAAGGAGAGGAATTTTTTGAAGCTTTATTGGTCGAGTTTTATTGATTGTGTTTAGCTTAAAAATTAGCTTTACTCAGTAGAATAGATAGAGCTAATATTATTATCGTAGCCGCACATGTGGCCAAATGGCGTAGTATAATGGTTAATTTTGATCAGAAAATTATTAATTAGGTTGTTATTCGTAGTCTAACATTATTATATTTATTCACTTTTGAAATATTTCGCTAGAAATTTTTTCCGGATGATACTTAAAGATGACCTGTCGAACAAGCGCATATGTGATATGAAATTGTAAAAATACGCAATTGTTTGATTTTTTTAATAATCTATCCAAAGAACAATAGACTTTTGTTTAGAATTTTTTTACAACGTTAGGTTTTATGTTTCCGCGAATAGGACATATACGATATCGAATTATAAAAATACGCGGGATTTTTTCAAAGTTTTAATTCAAGCAATGTGCAATTTTTGTCCGTAAAGATCATCAATGCTTTTTTGAACCTTTTTTTCTCCCTTGTATATTCTTCGCTGTTTCCTTGTGGCACTCATCTGCACAAACACGATTAATTTTTCTTATTGATATTTTATATTGATATTTTCGCGTTATCGCGTTTTCGCGCTTTCGTGTTGGACTTTTTCGTCTAAATCCCAACTTCATTAGTGTCATCTCAAATGGATTCCCTAGGCACGATTTTCGCTCAGAAAAAGGGCTGCCTCCTCATTTTCTAAATCGTTGATTGTTAGCATTTAAAAAATGTGGGTATCCTCTTATTTTATTTTCTACCAGCCTTATGTACTGCGCTGGTGATATAGCATGCAAGTCACCTGAAATCGTGCTTAACGAATCCAAGATCGATACAAAATAGGATTATGCACGAAAAAGAGTGGAGTAAAGTTTATTTGCCTCTATTCTATTCAATAGTTTTTTCTTGTTTTCGATTTGGGCTTAATCTTTGTTCGTTGTATCGTTGCTTTTCCGACCTTTGATTCGAAGTTAATTCTCGTAAGTGAAATGGGATTTTCGCTCGTAAGTGAAATGGGATTTTCGCTCGTAAGTGAAATGGGATTTTCGCTCGTATCGAGAGGCAGCCGTTCAAAGTATATACATATTAAGTATATACATTACGACCAAATATGAAATTTTTAATTGCTCCGAAATAGTGCGGGAACTGTTTCGGTATCACATGTAAAATGGTAATATCTGCGTTGTGCCATCGTACCGAAGTAGAGTAGTGTTAATTTGAGAAAATGCATTTTCTAACGGTTCGATCTTTCGTTTCTTTGATTTTTGATTATTTATAAAACAAGTAGACAAAGGATTCAATACATCAGAATCTGAATCTGATGGCCAAAAGCTGGAAGTAGCTTCGCTTGTTCACGCAGCATTCGTTCTTTGCTATAACGTTGACGGAGGCGTCCATCGTGTTTGACAATCTGATACTAAAAACATAAATGTACATTAGTATTTAATCACATGAAAGAAAATGCATGGATATTGATAGATGGATACATATACATGTTAAATAGATTTACCAAACAGGCAACGAAAGTGACGCGCGACGCTGCTGAGCGAGCCTCGTTCTTCGATATCTCAATATGTTTCGGGTGTGTGAAGTTAGCACCCTGGCATGCAGTTACGATAGTTCCCATTAGAGTTCTAGTTTCCTCTTAAAGAGTTTAAGAGTTCTTTATTATTAATTAAAAGAGTTCCGTCGATTAACAGTTCCAAATTTGAATTTGAAAAATGGGATGCTAACTTCTCATCGAAAATTAAGACCGAATAGTTCTAAATAGCTTAATTGCTTTATTTTGCATGGTACTAGAGTTCCTGATACTTAAAAAAAAAATCAGTCGACCAAAAAAAAATAAAAAAATTTTTTTAAATTTAATTTTGATATACAATAATTCTGGCAAAGATTTTTAATGTTTCCTTATTTATTCCTAAGAGTTCGTGCCAATTAAAAAAAATTGTATTCGAAAATAAAAAAGTTACAGCCCTATTGCGAATTTTCAAAAAATTTCAAAATTTTGATACACGGTAGTTCTAATAAATTTTTAATATTCTCTCCTTTATTTCTAAGAGTTCTTGCCAATTAAAAAGAAATTATACTCAAAAATAAAAAAGTTACAGCCTCGTTGCATAAATTTTCTAAGTACGAAGGGAAATTAATTTGAAGAGTTCCAATAGTTTTCGCAACAGTATTCCAAAAGTTATAAAAATAATCCCAATGATTAAAAGCGATCCGATTAATAATTAAAAATTTATTTGTCTTTAAAGAGACCTGCGTAAATAAATCAGAACTAATCAAAACTATCAGAACTTAACTTCATTCCCTTATTATAGAATTATGTAAATTATAGGTAAAGCAAATCTCATAGGTGTATGAATATTATTGAATCAGTATAAAAATTTGAACTCAAATTGTTTTATCTTCCTGCAATAAAATCAAAGTTTATCAATCAAATCAATTTTTTATACAACACAATTTTCTTAAAGAGACACTTGTGTAAAGGCGTAGCGTGGTACAGTACATAGCGCACTAATCTACAAAACTGAAGAACAATTTTAATGCCATTTACAATGAGTGTAATTCTTGTGTTGTTAAAAACAATGTCTAAAATACTTGGAATAAACTATTGCGCGCTATGTAATCTTTGTAGGCATTCACATTTATGCATTAAGTTTCATTTTTACAGAATGTTTATTCACCAAGTACATTTGTATTGAATTACACAAGTATTGAATTATTTTCGACAAAGACTTAAATTTAGTGTATACCATGAAAAAAGAATACCGATTTGTTATTGCGTGATTGATAGTTATTGAAAAAACATTGTCATTCGCGTGGTGTCATTCGTGTGTCACTTCGTGTATCTCATTTTCCTGTGTAACTTGCGACAGGCATTAGAACGTTACTAGAACTTCCTCCCTTACTTTTGTAGCACGCTTTGACGAAAGCAAAGCCTCCTATTTATGTACTTCTAACAAAACATTCCAAAAAAGTCGTAAAAGATTCAATTCGGTCTAAGGGTGCGTTTTCACTTGACGCTGTGACGCTGGCTTTTAGCGTCATATCGCCGCAACATCGTAGCGTCAATGAAAACTGATTGACGTTAACGTCTGGCGTCAAAACGGAATAACCTTTCATCAAGTTGTTCTTAAAAGTAATAACGTGTCTAAGTTAACAGATCTTAATTTCATTTAAAAAATGTTATGTAATCAATGATACTACGAATGGCAAAGAGAATGCTTAAAAATAATAAATTTAAAAAGACGATTAAAGAAAAAAAAACGTCAAATGATTTGTATAGCAGTGATTCATGAATTGGAAAAAATGGAGAAAAGACAATATACCAAAAAACGTTATTGGGTTGCACCATTATTTAAAAATAGAAAAATGCATGGTTTTTACCATGCAATATTTCCTAATATTATTTTGGAAGACAGCACATTTAGAAATTATTTTAGAATGACTGCTATACAGTTAGAAGAATTGCTACAAATAGTAGGACCTTCTTTGAGTAAACAGATAACTTCCTTTCGTGAGCCAATATCCGCTCCTGAACGTTTGTGTTTAACATTAAGGTATGTTGTTATTAATTATAATATTATTATATTATTACATTGAGTGCCATCGCTAGTGACTGAGACAGATCTTTCTGTTGAAGCTCGACATTTAATATGTTAACAATCTGTTTATTATTACTTGCATTTTAAATATATTACATTTTACAGATATTTAGCTGCTGGTGATTCTATGAAATCAATATCATATCAATATCTAATTGGTGTAACAACGGTTTCTAACATTATTAGCGATACATGTAATGTCATTTGGAATTGTATTCACGAGGAAGTCCTTCCATCTACTTTGAGTCAAGGAGATTGGTTACGCATAGCAGATGAATTTGAGGAAAAATGGAACTTCCCTCATTGCATAGGTGCTATTGATGGAAAGCATGTAGTAATACAAGTAAAATCAGTAAAATGATTCTTTCATAAATCTTATTATTAACATTATTTTTTAATTGATAACAATTTTTGTAATACTTTTTTTCAGTGTCCTAATAATGCAGGTTCTTCATATTATAATTACAAGAATTCTCACAGCATAGTACTTCTGGCAATATGTGATGCAAATTATATGTTTACTTTTGTGGACATTGGAGCATATGGTCGACGTAGTGATGGTGGCATTTTTCGATCTTCTTTAATGGGACAAAAATTTCATAATGAGGAAATGAATTTACCAGAACCACAAGCTATATTAGCTGATGAAATACCTCTACCATTCGTAATTGTGGGTGATGAAGCTTTTCCGTTATCAGAATATTTAAGAACGAAAAATTTACAACTATCGGCTGAGTAGAGCAAGAAGAATGATCGAAAGTTCTTTTGGAATTTTAGCCAATGGCGGATATTAAGGCGTCCCATTGACACTACAGTTGATACATGTATGAAAATTGTTCAGGCCATTATCTGTTTACACAATTGGCTGCGAATTAAAGATATTGATCATAACGAATATATACCATCCAATCTAATTGATCAAGACAATTCATACAGTTTTATATCTGATACTTTGAGCTCAGATATAACTGATGAAGGTGCTTTGCGAAATATAACTCAATGTGGTTTTAATTTAGGTTCACGTAAAGCCATGATGATAAGAGATACATTTTGTCACTATTTTAATAGCGAAGGAGCAGTTCCCTGGCAATTCGAGCACTGTTAAAATATTAATAATAAAAAAATAAAATAATTAATAATGTCAATAAATATTGTGTAAATAAGTATTAATAGTATAAATAAGTATTAATTGCGTAAATAGGTATTAATATATAAATAAATATTAAGTATAAGTTAATTATATTGAATCTTTTATTTGTAATCTTTTTATTTGTAACTTTTTAATAAAAAATTTTACACTATTATTTATTATAACATTATTATAAAGAACATTATTATATTACTTTATTCAATAAAATGTAGCAAACAAAACAATAGTTGTGATAATTTAGTTTCATAATAACAGTTAAAATTTGATTTTATATACTATTTTCTTTTAGCATATCATATGACAATTGTAAGTGTCTTTGAAATGCTTCCTGTTTTTGCTCTTCGGATAAACGACGAATTCGAAACCCCAACAAATTTAAAAAAGAGTCGATGTCGTCAGGCTGAGGTGGAGGCGGTAAAATAATATCATCGTTGGAAGTATCGCACAAAGCATTAGCAATTCTCTCAATAGCACTGTTTTCTTTGAGATTATCTGTTTTTTTAGCTGTAAAGTAATAAAGATTAATAATTATATATATATATATATATATATATATATATATATATATATATATGTGCGTGTGCGTATAATGTATTGTATATGTGTATACAATAGATTACAATAGATAAATCACATATATTTATAAATATTTTTTTCAATCTCAATCATATATAAAAGACAAATATAAATTTTCATATAAATGTTATATACCTGACCGAACATTCCTAGTTTCTTCTGATGACTGATCCGAATCATTGAACGATGCTCTTGTTCTAGAAATATTTGATGCCGTGCTAAAATGTATCAATGAATAATTAAATATGTATATAATTTATTAAGTACACACATGTAAATTTTTTAAATTTCAATAATTTTTAAAATTTTTTAAATTTCAATAATTCAAATTTGAATATTCTTTAATATCAGAATTAATAGAAAATTTTAAAAATTTGTTTTACATTTGCACTTTAATAAATACGAAAGCAAAACTTACGTTTTGACCAAACAAGAGTCACGCAAAAATTCCATATTATTATAATGTTGCCACAAGCGAGTAGTATTTGGTGTTGCAGATCCACTTGCCTTTTGTTCAGATTGAATAATTTTACGATAAGTATCATGTAAAGATTTAAATTTATTTTTAGCTGTTTCTGGGCTAATTACACCTAAAAAAATGTAATGACATCTTAGATATAAAATGTTAAAAAAACATTGGAAGAAATATATAAAAAAATATATAAAACTTTTTAAAAAACAAGACTCTCTCTTTTTTATTTTTACCATTTAATGCCTCAGAAACTTCCTGCCACAATTTATTTCTTTCTTTCGGATTTCTTTGTCTAATATCTAATTGAAAATTCCATAACGCTTCTCGTTTTTGTACTTCCAGAATCAACAGCTCTTCTTCGTCGAATGACAAACCTGTTTTGAATTTTCTTTTTGATTCTGGAATATTAGTTGTCATTGGGAGCTTCCTTTTTAAATGTTGAATATTATCTGCAAAAATAAAATAAAATTATATATTTAATATTACATCTTATTTTTAAGTGATTACAATATTTATATATTTCTTACTTGACAAATTTTCCTTATTAGAATTATTATATAAATTTTTTTTATTATTTTCTTTTGCCTCTATTACTACTATTTCATCATTCTCAATTAAACTTTTTCTTATTATGTTTTGTCCGTCATCTGTAACAAAGCGTCATATAGAAATAATTTGCATAATCCTCAGGCACTATCAGAATGATTGTTATATGTACCTGTCATTGGATAAAAGTATAATGTTGAATTATCAACATAATACTTAGAATATCCTTCTAAGCAAGGATGAGTATTAATATTTTCAATGGGAATGATCATTTCGCAAAGCCCACATGTTTGAACCATTTCAAATTCCTATTGAATATTAAAATATAATAGATATTATTTTATACACTTTATTATTACAAGTAAATTACAACATTACATGTTCTGATGTTAATAATTAAAATAAGAAAAATTGTTGGACATAATGTTTGGAAATAATTTATATGGTTAGGTTAGGTCTTTAGAATTATAACTCAAATTAAACTATTATAAATATTGCTATTTAATATTAATGATTTACATAAAAGTTAGTAGATCAATTCATATATCAATTCATAGATCAATTAAATATTTATTTCATTAAAAATGTATTTTGAATTTTCCACTCATTTAAAAAAAAATACTTAACTGATTACGTCGTGAAATTATCATAAATATATTAATGCAAATTTATTGTTATTATTAAAATGTAATGAGTAATAAATAAATAAATAAATAATAACAATATTACTTACGTTTTCCACAGACATTTTTGAGGCACTGCTTGACGCTTGAAGCTGAACAAATCCAGCTTTTTTCTTTTGACGTTAGCGTTCAAAAAGAGGTCACGTGATCGACTAGACGCTAGCGTCAGATAGGTAATGAAATCGCAGCCTTATAATTATACTGCGTCGCTGCATCAAAATAGAAGAAACAATGGGAAACCAAAATAAACCAAAATGTGCAATCAAGTAACAATTCCTTGAGGAATAATTATCAATATCGAGAATCCAACGGCAGATAAAAACAAGAAAATAGCTTAATATCTTGTTCGATAAACACCTTCGCAATGATAATAATATATCATGCATACGATAAGTATGAACACCTGTAAAAAAAGAAATAATACTTTATGGCCAAACATATGGATAATAGTACATAAAAAACATTTAAATATTTATGAAACTTGTAAGATGTTATAACATAAAACAAATTACCAGTATATATAATTGTGTTGTATACCAGAGACAAAACCATATACACGAATAGAAATCAATATAAATCTGTAACATGCAATCATAATAGAAACGTGTTGAAAAAGCATCATTTAATTATCCTTGATACATTCTCTCTATTAACACGTACTATTTTTTAACTTTTTGGTCTATACAGCGAAAATAATCTCGCTGTGTTATATTTAACTGGCTTTATTTGATAGAAAAATCGGTGATTTTGATTCATCTTATTTGGATTTTCCTTATCAAAGTCTTTTAGTTAAGATATCTTTATGGTCTTTAAATTAAATTTCTTTTAATAATCAGAACGCACATGCAAATCATATTTGATGTAAGGCATTTTTGAAAGTACACGAATTTGGTCGTCTCTGAGTTTTTTTTTTAACCAACACACGAATTATGTTAGATAAAATATCGAAAGTCCTCGTAAAAGGCAAAGATTAAGGAAATAAATAATAATTAAAAATATACATAAAATAAAAATATAATTTCTTAGTATGTGAAAGGACGATGACTAAAATAATCTGATTTTGTTATGATGGTACTTTTCTTATGCAAACAAGGATCAAATTGAATTAATTATAAAAGTAATAATTAAAACTATGTGTGATTGGTCCAAACGATAAATCAAACGCTGTAAGGAAGGTTTGTTTAGGACCAAAAAGGTTAAAACTTTTTTTATGTTCTTTTTTTCTACTACTTCTCGTCCCCCTTTGCTCTCATTTTTGATCATCGTTTTCGCATTACTTCGAGGAGAATAGCATCATTGCTACACGATTAATGATCGCTGCTTCCGCTGCGGATGCTCGGATGTCCGCTTTGTGCGGACTTTGGACTCTCGGATGCGCACGCTTTGGAGACAAGAACTTCTGCTGCTTCCTCTGGGATCAAGATCAAGATCGATGTAGGAGACTCGGTGTCCGGTTAAAGGGGGACTCTTTGGTGAATCTTCCCAAATCCGGCACCTCAGCAACACTCGCGGGGGGAAGATGGGGGCCTTGAGTCGAACAAGAGTGATGGCCCTTTCTTCCACCCGAAAAAGAGTGTAATAATAAACAGCAGACTCACCCTGTTGGGATCCTCATAAATGGGTCAACCTTCCCTGTCTCAAAGACAAGGAAGGACAAGAGAGAGAGATGTCTCTCTGACAAGGGTTGAAGAGATAGATTTCCCTCCTAAAAAGAGGGCGCAATCCGCCGCGGAACGCAGGGAAGGTTTTCAGTAAGTAGACTCGGATTTGCATAGCTAGGAAGTCCCGTATAATTATTGTTATGCATAAAACATTTTTCTTTCCCTATCCAAAGAAGATAAGCTAAGCTAATTTTTGTTAGAATAAATAATGTTAGGTTAAATGAGAATAGAAGAGATGGGATGGAACGTAATAGAAAGAGAAAGAATAAGATGTTGCATACTCTTGTTTTTGTTTCTACAAATTTTTACAAATCTGATAATCTGAATGTGATATTCCCAGGATATTATGAAATTAACGTTTGATAATGATTCAGCATATTAAAAGATAAAAAAAAAACATACAGGAAAAATTGCATAACCACGGGCAAAGTCAGATTATTTTACTCCTATCATTCTTTTCTTTAACATTTCTTACATACTTGTCTATCTCAGCAAAAAGAAATAAACAAATAATATTACAATAATTAATGATGTGGTTTATGTCGAGGCTTTCGAACAATGCACTATATATATATAACGCCCACATACACACACACGTAAAATAAATAGATGACGCAAATATAGTTAATAACAATATAGTTAATAACAATAGAATAAATTTGAAAAAATTAACGTATCAAAAATATATATTTTAAAATAACATTTTTTATATTTAATATAATATAATATTAATATTTACATATATTTGGATAAAGAGTAAATCTTGTACATCCGTTTCACTTTTGCACTCATTCTCTCTGCCTACTTATTTTTTGCTTACTTATTGATTGCATTTTCTTGCAATAATAACAGAAATTTTATTTATAGACCTCTAGATTTTAAATGTTCAACACGTAAATTAGTGTCATCCCAAATTTTTTGCCCAGAAGTATTTAATCCCCAAAAACTTACCTGTTTAAAAAAAGGTAAAAAAGGGCGCCAAGTTCATGCACTAATTGTATTCACTAATTGTATCCAACTGTCATATTGTCTACAAAAATAGTGATATCAAAAAATTGCGCCGACTAAGAATAAAAATTTGTACAAGATAAATAGTAAAAAAAGTTTTAATTAAAAAAACTTGGCGCTGCCAATTTTATTAATATATTGTTCAGCTAAAAAGTCTAAATTTACAAATCCAGAAGATCTTAAGAGAATTAATAATAAATGTCCAACAATTATATTTGCTGTTAAACATATATTTAATTGGAATATATATATATGCCAATATATATATTCTAATTTTATTGGCAGTGCCAAGTTTTTTTAATTAAAATTTTTTTTACTATTTATCTTGTACAAATTTTTATTCTTAATTGGCGCAATTTTTTTATATCACTATTTTTGTAGACAATATGACAGTTGGATACAATTAGTACATGAACTTGGCGCCCTTTTTTTACCTTTTTTTAAAAAGGTAAGTTTTTGGGGATTATATCACTTTTTTTTTAAATTTGTTAAAAGATATTATATTAAAAAAATTTTGTATATACACATATATATATATATATATAATATATATATATATATATATATATATATATATATATATATAGGTATATTCTGTTAATATATAAGCAAATTATATAAAAATATATGTAGAATAAGTATATATAATATACATTATATATATATATATATATATATATATATATATATATTTTATTTTTCTATTTTTATTTATTTTTCTGTAACATTTATGATTCAATCAATACGTAACATATAATATTACATATAATATAATAACATATAACATATATAACATATAATAACAATCATAATAACAATCATAAATCACTATTCTTTTTAAACAAAATTCCCTAAAATATTATTTATGTATTATAATATTAACATAATTCCTCTGTTTTTTTCATGTGTTTCTTCAAATGTATTCCTTTGTTTTTTGCATTAGTCTGCTAATTCTATATTTAGCTATTTTTCATTATGAATAGAAGTTTTTATATTTAGATTTTGCGCTTTATCTTTTTAAATACCTAAATAATAGATATATTACAAGAAAAGAATCTCTCATTATCTTTAGAATAATCTATGAATCTGAGAGGAAAGGGATAGAAAATCAAAAAAGAGAATGGAGTTAAGAATAGCGTTCGTTTTTATTCTCCTCAGGAACGCGCATAAACATTGATACAATTGTACGAACACATGGAACTTAATTGTTGCGCTCAATGGAATATCATAAAATTTAAAACGCATGAAAATCACGGAATTCATGGAATATTTTAAAGTATTAAAAGAAAAAAACTAGCTTATTCATTAATCTCAATCGTTGCGATCCATTATATAAAATAACAAGAATATACATAAAAAAATATTTCGACGAAAATTTACATTTTTTCCCCTCATATTACAAACAATTACAAATACTTGAATAATTTTGTATAATTATTTTTTATGCGTGAATAAATATCTAAAATTATTAGAATAATTTCTGTATGAAGTATCCGTCGCATTTAAATGCAAAAAAATGACGTGCGCGTGGATTTGTAATAGTTAAGACTAGAGAACCTCTAGGAGAGAGAATGGACAACTGATCATGTGACATGTGATCAAGCTTTTTCATGATTGGCTGGCAGAAAATGTATCAATTTTAGCTATTGCGACGCCAATGCAAAATATCATGACACAAATAGGTTATATTAACCTATTTGTGTGTCATCATATTTTGCATTGGCGTCGCAATAGCTAAAATTGATACATTTTCTGCCAGCCAATCATGAAAAGCTTGATCAGTTGTCCATTCTCTCTCCTAGAGGTTCTCTAATTCAAATCAATACTGAAAATTTGTAGATAAAAAACGTGACGAAGAAGGAACGTGGCTCCTTTGGGCGGAAGCGCGCTTATTATTTTTTTATAGCGAAGCTTGCGCTCAGCGAGTCACGATTAGTACCATAATGTCGTAAGAATCATGAAGATTAATCAAAAATCGTATCACATCGTCTTAACTAGAGAACCTCTAGGAGAGAGAATGGACAACTGATCAAGCTTTTTCATGATTGGCTGGCAGAAAATGTATCAATTTTAGCTATTGCGACGCCAATGCAAAATATGATGACACACAAATAGGTTATATTAACCTATTTGTGTATCATCATATTTTGCATTGGCGTCGCAATAGCTAAAATTGATACATTTTCTGCCAGCCAATCATGAAAAAGCTTGATCACATGTCACATGATCGGTTGTCCATTCTCTCTCCTAGAGGTTCTCTCTCTCTCTCTCTCTCTCTCTCTCTCTCTCTCTATATATATATATATATATATATATATATATATATATATATATATATATATAGAGACCTCTCAGTCTTCTCTCTGACAATACAATCCCAATGATCCCAGTGGGAGAAACGAAACGCAGCACTGGGAGTTTTCAATACTGCCAACTTTATGTTTTTTCCCAACAGCAACCAAACATATTTTCGAACGCACACCAAACATATTTTCGAATGCACTATTAATATTTCTAGCAATTTTCGCGCTCGTCAGTTGCCGGCAATGGATGTTGACATTTTCACTTGTCAAAGATGGTCAATGGCAGCAATGGCGGCTAATGGGGGCGTATGTATATGATACAGTAGTAGACACATCTTTGTCGATTTATCAGAGAAATCTCGTGTGTGTTACATCGTATGCGTTCTGCGTCCGGAATCTATCTATGCGAGGGCGTTACGTCCTCGTAGAGAGAGAAAAAGAAAAAGAAGCAATTTCGACGACTTGGAAGGACGCAACAGACATCGGATCCGCGCTGTTCATTCACGGATGTTTACGACTGGCATGTTAAATGGAAAAGAACGTGGAAGTGACGGAGGTGACGTCGTCCAGGGAGACTGACACCGGCCTTGCCGCGAATTCATCGATAGGATCGGGCGACATTGACACCGAGGTCAATGATAATACGCTGACGAACGAACCGTCACCGCGTCACGACGATGACGTAAGGAACGACAACGAAAATGGTAAGAATGCAGCGGAGGAAAAACGTGGAGAAGGCATCGCTGCGAACTCGTCGCGAGGAACTAACGCATCTCAGACTCCCATAGCCTTCACCATTGAATTCGATAACAACAAAGAAGTGGACACGGCCAAGTACCACAATCTGTTCGAGAGATATAACGCCAGGCACAGGCGGAATCTCTCCATGTCCAAGGTATTGAAATTTCTGTCATTCTGTCAAATTCTGATCAGCTGATTGTCAGTTGATTTGTCATTTCATAAGTAGATATATTTTTGTATGTTTCAGAACCTTACAAGAGAGAGAAAGAGAAAAAATTACAATAATTATATATATTATTTGAAAACTTACGTACTCATGAATTTTTTATCTTTTGCAGACTCTTGAATTTTTTACAAATCCTTTTTCTTCGATTGACTTTCTCTAGATCGTAAATCTAATCTCGTCATATCTTTAGATTTCTAAGGTCGGATATTCGAAAAATAATTATATTTATATATTTATTTTAAATATTCGAAGAACTATATAAAGTTTTAGCAAATTAGTACTATTTTGTAAAAGATATTGAAAGAATCCTCCACGAGAATGAGTTTAATTAATTTGTCTAATCTTGTTATTAAAAACCTTCGAGTCTTCTAATGATATACTTTTGATGAAAACTAATTTGTTAAGCATATTTGATAAATTTTTTTTTAATATTTGAAATAGATGTATATTTTATACACGCACTTTTTGGATATTCCGTGTTATAAAATTATTAACATATACAAATTATTTCAAATCGTTTCTCCTTCTCTCTCTTGATGTAATATCTTAATTGATTTAAGCATAACGTTAAATCTTTTATTAAAGAATTTAGATATTTATAGTTACTATAATGCTATAATATACTTTTAGGTAGAAATAAAATCAAAGAAGCCAAGCGCTATATTATCTCCAAACTTGGGACAAAAGCAGAAAGTTCCTAGCACTCATTCGGAAGGTTACTTTAGTAGCGAGGATGAAACGAAGCGAAAAACTGATCAATTATCAGAAAGACTTAAACAACTAGGTAAATTTATATATCATTTTTTATTCTTTTTTCTTTAAGATTAAATAATATGAGGATTATGTTTTTAATTTTAAAAAATGATTTTGTATCTTCTACTTATCATTTAAAATTTTAAAAATATAATCTTGTTATAAAAGAAATATATATTGTTGTATATAAATGAAAAATTGATAGTTATTATTTACAAGATTAAATTTATATACTGGAAATAGTCTAATGAAAAGACTTCAGTGCAAATCTTGTATTTGTATTGAATATCTGTGATAGATGAGTCATGATGAAATCATGGCCTTCAAGCTTCTTAATATTCTTTACAAGTACTTTCTATCCATTTTGAGTGATATAGCTAACTGACATATTAATGACTTTGATGTCATAACTGTTTTTATATTGGAAATTGTGTGATTTTCTGCCATAAATGTATATCAATAATTTTATCATTAATTTTACAATAACATTATTATTTTTAACTTACAAATATATATGCATTAGCAAGTTATCTCTGAATAGTAAATAAAGGCTAATTTAGGGAAAAAAACAATTGCATATATAGGATGGTCCTAAACGTTCCAGCCAGATTTTGAGATCTTATAGGAAATTTAATTCTGAACAAAAAATTTCCTATAAACATGGGTCGAAAAATGCTTCCTTAAGAAGTTATCCTTAAGAAGTTATAATAAAATAATTTTTTTTTAACTAATTTTTATTTTATTTTCATAAAAGAAAAAGATTTTTATTTTTTATTTTTATCGTTTTCTCTTCAAGAAATTTATTTAGTTTCGGTTTCTTTTTATTTCATTTTTTTTTCACCTTTTGCTCTTCCTTCATCAGAGGTTTTTGAGCGATAACTTCTTAAGGAAGAATTTTTTGACTCATGTTTATGGGAAATTTTTTGTTCAGAATTAAATTTCCTATAAGATCTCAAAATCTGGCTGGAACGTTCGGGGCCGCCCTGTATATGTACATTTATAAATGATAAAATTTCATTATTTCTTATATTTTATTTTCAAAATCTAAACTATTATACATGTGTTTTTTAGGTATGAAGAATCCTTCGAGAGGAGATTCTAGCACAAAGATGTTTGCTAATGAAAATGTAGATCATCAGAATAAATATTTAAAGACGAGATCTAACGATGGTGAAATACGACGTAATATATGGTCACAAAGCCTCTCCTTGGAATTCGAATCCAACGAAAACGAATATTGGACGTCTCAAAGATCCGCAACAATAAATGATTTAAGTCGCGTTCAAATTAGCAATTACGACGATGACGAAAACGAGAAGCAATACACGAAAAATATTGAGTACATTGCTCACAAGAGCGAAGAAGCAAATGATTTCGAAGATAATAAAGTATCTAATATGAATTATCTCACCGATGATTTTAACATAAGAAACACAAACGAACGAGAGAGTGCTTTGTCGAGCATCAATTACGCGATGAATCTCGATGCGAATGATTTAGCGGATACTAATCTGGATGTATTTAATGTCAGTAATGTCGATGCCGCTTCTGATGGTGCAGTGAGCGAGACTGGAACGTATACCATTCATAAAGATTATACCGATGAGGAAAAAGCGAGAATGGACATCGACAAAGTTTTTAGTGTCGGTGTTTTAACGGAAGATGAAAGCAACGAAGCGTATGTTCATAATTTTAAGGTAAATATAACGTAAATATATTTACATATACAGTGTGGTAAATCACACTACAAAGACTACCACAATATTGCTTTCTAAGATATTTTCATAAATATTGATTTTATAAATTTTTAAAATGAATATAAAATAATGAGAGAAATAATCAGTTGGTATAAAGAAAACATAATTGTTTAAAAAGAATATGTAGTATATATATGCTCGTTATAAATTTATATTTTTTTATTAATAACAATTATGTGTTTTCTTTACATTAGTTAATTTCTCTGATTTTGTGTATAAAAGAATTGAGATAATGTATAAGATAATCAGAAAATGAATATTTTTACGAGAGTGCATATAAAATTATATATCAAATTAAAATATAAAATATTTCGTAAACTATTCAATTTTTGGTCACTCTATTTTTATAACTTTTTATGCTGAATATTAAAAAGAATTGATTTAATAAATGAATAAATAAATTAGGTGATGCCATATAAAAAAAAATAAAGATGACTCAAAACTTGGCATCTCTATCTAAAAAATGTTGAGACAACCGAGACATAACTTTTTCAAAATTATTTAACTTTTGTCTGAAATATTTTTGTGCAAAATCAATATTTATGAAGATATCTTAGAAAGCAGTTTTAATAATTCATATATATACATATTCTATATATATGCATTTGATTTTCTTGCTCAAATATTTAAGATATAACAATTTTTTATTTTGCAGATGAGTATTTCTCGTGATAATAATACTTGGATATCGGAGTGGGCGACTCAAGTAGCAGAGCACAATTCGTTACCTCCCATAATAGGCGGCACGACAGGTCGTACACCACCTCTAAGTCCTACCAAAATACCATCCCCGATTCATACTAGATCTCAACGAGGATTGCGTAATCGTTATGTATGCATCATGTAATCTTAAGAGACAAAATATTTCTTAAAGAATAGGATTTTTGATACATATAAGGTGTTTCACAAAAAGACAAGATGTTTTTTTCAAAAGTTGACATACAAAAAATGTTGCAGACAAAATTGATGAGACCGAGAAGGAAAAAAGTTGAATTTTAACTAATCCTCAAGATTAGATTCCTATATCTTTAGCTCCTTAGTTTTCAAAATAGAATTATCCTAATTTATTTATATAAATTGATTCTTCATAATATTCTGTACAAAAAGTTATAAAGATAAAGAATGTGTGATCAAAAATTTTGAATAATTTAAATCTCAATTTGATATATTTTTACATTTACTATAAAAATCTCGTATAATATTCATTTTTTTATTTTCTTGCCTCCATATTTTTTTTATATAAAAACTTTTAAGGAGAATCAATTTGTGTAAAAAAATAGTTATTTTTAAGAAGATATGAATTTATAATGAGTAGACATATAGTTACATATGTAATTCTATTTAAAAAAAATTAGATTGACCTTTATGAAAACTTGGAAAATGATTTTAGATAAAATTTTATATTATCAACTTTTTTCTTAAAATTCTATTATATATATAATAATTTTATCTAATATATTTTTGTACAATGTCAAGTTTTGAAAATATCTTATGACACTGTAAGTGAGTGTTGTGTATATATATTTTTATTTAAAAAAAAAATTATTTATATATATATATATATATATATATATATATATATATATATATATATATATATAGGGTGTCCCAGTTATCTTCCATCATCTTTCAAAAATAGATTCCTGGGATCATTTGAAGACGATTTTTCCTCAGCGAAAATGTCAATGAAGGCCATCATTTTTTGCATGTTCCCGATTTTTGTCATCATATATCTTTGCAATTAAATCTTAAATTAAAACTCAACTAAAGTAAACTTTATTTAAAATTAATCAAAGAATGTGGTTTTGTTGATATTTTATTTCTACAAAGCTTATAGTTTACGAAAAACTTCTTATTTCCAATCACTTATAATTCGAAAATTATTGCCTCGACATTTTCGTTGAGGAAAAATCGTCTTCGGATGATCCCAGGAATCTGTCTTTGAAAGATGACGGAAGATAACTGGGACACTCTGTATATATATGTATATATATATATATATATATATATATATATATATATAAAATTTTATAAAATTTGAAGGAGGCAATTTTCTCTAACTTTACAAAGCAAGATACATAGTTTAATTACCGTTTGTCTTTCTAAATTATCATTTCTAAAAAATTTGTATTATTTTGCATGCAGGAACATTCCGATAGTAACGTGAGTACAGATACGTATGTGCGAATAAAAGAAAGAATCAATTTAGTTTCAAATCAACATCAGATTATAGATTCCGGCGGTGAATCCGATGACGATACCAGCAATAGTTACAACACGCCGCCCAACAGCTCACAGCGTACACCTGTACATAGTACCGTAGGTAGACGCGGTAGCTTGTCTGACTCATTGTTTCGACGAGCGAATAGCAACGAAAATAGACGCAGCGTCCGAAAATACTTAAGTTCAACCAAATCGAAGACTGCTGATACTAATGTAGAATTATCGAATAGCCCGTCCCAAGTCATGACAACTCTCCGTTTGGAGAGAAGAAGCAACTCTCTTGATAGGTGATTGATTCATTTTACATTATATTTTTTTTTGCTATAGGTGATTGATTCATTTTATATTATATTTTTTTTTGCCACAGATAAATACAGATTCTAATGATTACATATAGTGTAAATATAATTAGCAAGTTTTTTCTATACTTTAAAAAATTCTTCTCTAATACAGGAAAGAGTATGCTTCAGATACAACGGAATCTAATACGTCCAGAAAGAATAGTATGAAATATAAAGAAAGTGATTTCAAGCACACAAATAGTCCTGTCTTAAGCCGTCTCAGACCACCTATACCAAAACTGACCAATAGTCCAATTCTGAGTCGTAAGGTTGCCGCAACGAAAGTCCTTAATTCTCCCATTTTAGAAAGATCTAAGCTTCTGACAAAGTCATCAGAAACGAAAAATATAGGATATTTTACATGTGTTGAAAACAGGTACATACTTTTTTTTTAGACACATTATTTCTTAAATATCTCATACAAAATTTGAAAAAAATAAATATGTTTTACACATGTTAGTTTGTTTTACAGTCCATATATGCTGAGAAAATCTAACAGCACTACAAATTATCATGAAAGAACCAGTTATTTTGATAAAGACATATCTATTAAAGCGCCTAATATGTTACAAAATAGTCCAGAATTTCAACGGCATCTTAATATACAGAGATCATCAAGTAACGCGAGTATCAGAAACATAAGGTCACAGAATTTTGTGTCACGTCGCAGCAGTTTCAATAGTAATGACATTGACAGAATATCATCGAGAGGAAAATTTGCTGTTGCTTCTGATAGTAGCAGCGAAACAGGTGAACAACAAAGAAAATCTCCTTTGACACCAATTTCATCTGGGATCAAATTAAATAGGGCTTTCAGCATAAGAAGAGCAAGGTGTGTGTCATATAAATTAGATTTATCAAATATTGGAAAATACAATGTTTCAGAATTCGTTTGCTTTATCTTGTATGGACAAGAAAAGAAAACTATTTATTTTCCAATATTTGATAAATTAAATTTATCAAATATTGAAAAATACAATGTTTCAGAATTCGTTTGCTTTATCTTGTATGGACAAGAAAAAAAAACTATTTAAACTATTTAAACTAAATTACAATTAAATTAAATGCATGTATTCCTTGCAGATTAAATTGTGAATCCGACACAACACCGAATACAACCCCCGAAGAAAGACGTAGAAGAGCGCAGTCGGAAGTAAAGACTGCAACGCCTGCAAATAAGCAGAATTATCATCGTAGTCGCACAAACAGTGTTGGAGCGCATAATAAAGAATCATCGAAAAAATCAGAACCAACGAAGTTCAAAACACCGTCTATATCTAGGACTGATACCGGGAGATTTAGTATGAGAGCCCCGAAGCCTAATGTAAGCGTCGCGTTTACGTATAATTATATTATACTTATTATAAGATATCTTAAATATAATTTCTCTTGTTTTAGCATTCTTCCAATAGTCAAAAAACGAATCAAAAGTCAAGCAAAGATCACAAAAAATCTGGTAGAAGTAATTCCACTCTCACATCTAAGGAAGTGGAGTTTCAGAATTGGAAAAGACGGAAAAGTTACGATCCGATGAAAGCAGCAGCTGAAGGGAGAAAGAAATTAATGGACAACACGAAGAAACATCACAGTACCGAAGACAGTACCGGGAAGTGAGTATACAAAGGTGTTCCGAATTTAAATGTCAAAACTTGGAGATCGATAAAATAAGAAAAGAAAATCCTTTTCATAGAATTGCTCATTTTTGTATACGTATCTGTGTAATAAATATACAAAATGTTCACCGAACAATCGCAATTTATGTATGTACAATATATATTCCAGCCATGACAATTCTGTGCTGAGATCTGCAAGTTTTCACGGTACAGGAGGTGCTCTCTCATTAGCAAACGACTGGTCAGATAATGAATTAGATTACCACTACAAGGATAATCAAGTACCACCACCTAGCAGTCCACAGCTTGAAGTAAATATGCATTTAATCAGACTTAAATCATGTATTTAAATCATGAAGCATTTTACTCACGCTTAAGAATCCATCAAAATTTTTCGCTTTAACTATTAATCATCACTTTATAACTTTCTTAGTGAGATTTTTATAATTACATAAAATGCGTATATTTTAAGTCCAATTGTAAAGTCTGAATTCTTTCGATAGGAGAGTGATAGTGACTTGGAAACTTCATCTTATCTCCAAACCACTCAGAATGTTGTATCCGCTATGTCGGCTCGCATGACGGGATATCGTCCTCCGTTGGACTCCGATAACGAGAGCGACGAAGATACAAGTCATAGTCTACGTCAGAATATATTGAAAGGAATGCGCCATCCGAGCGACACCGAGAGCAGCGACGAACGACATGCTATGGCACAATCTCCTATTTCCAGTACTAAATATAATAAAGAATTTAGGTATGTGCACACATATACAGGGTCCCAAAAGTCCCAGACCGGTCGAATATTTTATAAACTATGCACTTTAGAAAGAAATGTTTCAGACAAAAGTTGTATGGCTTGAAGGGGGCCATCAGGTAGTGGCAATGATTTGACATGGGAGAGTCATTTGAAAGTAACGTGAAGACCGTCAATTTCTTAAATGGAACCTACATTTTCTCATTACATATTCTTGTAGCTTATCTCGAGAGCTTTCCAAAACACTATAATAAAATATTTCTTCATTGAGTATTTTTCGAGTTATGAGGCTTGAAATTTCTTAATTTTGCATAAACCATAAGATATCTAGTAAAATATTCATTTTTCGATTATCTTACCTTAAGACTTTTATGTACAAAATAATGAGAGGAATCAATCTAAAAAAAACATAGTTGTTTTTAAGAAAAATATATATAATTTGCAATTAACAATTATATATATTTTTTTTAAAACAACTATGTGTTTTCTTTACACCAATTTATTCCTCTCATTATTTTGTACATAAAAGTATTAAGATAAGATAATCGAAAAATGAATATTTTACTAGATATTTTATGGTTTATGCAAAATTAAGAAATGATTTCAAGCCTCATAACTTGAAAAGTACTCAATGAAGAAATACTTTATTATAGTGTTTTGGAAAACTCTCGAGATAAGTTATACGAATATGTAATAAAAAATAGGGGGTTCTATTTAAGAAATTGAAGGTGATCTTCACGTGACTTTCAAATGACTCTCCCATGTCAAATCATTGCCACTATCTGATGACCCCCTCCAAGCCATACAACTTTTGTCTGAAACATTTCTTTCTAAAGTACATAGTATATGAAATATTCGACCGGTCCGGAACTTTTGGGACATCCTGTATATCTTCCGTGCATTGTATTTTAATAATATTTCTCTATGTATGCCTCTCACTTCTTTTAGTTTGCGTAATAGAATAAAATTGGATCTCCAAAGAACAAAACCTGCGTCTTCCAATGTGAACAGAGCCAAAAATTTATCACACGATACTAGCAAATCTGAGTCTTTTTCTAACGTTACTAGAATGGAATCTGGACGATCTGGCGCGCGAATTAGTAGAGCTTTGAGTATGGTAAGTTTAATATGTATAATAAAGCGATGAAGTGTCATCAAGTCATGCGATGAAATATTTAAGTAAAGTATATCTTGTGACTTTTGTAGATTAAACTTAATCTACAAAATTCATTAAATATACTTAAATATTTTTTTAGCTTTTTACTATTTTTTTATTCAAATTATAATTAATAGTAATATTACAAGTTAAAAATCAAAAAGAAGAAAGCTGTTGCATTTGTGATTTTAAAATCTATAATTGAATTTTCACTAGAAATATAAGTTTTGAAATCATATATAAAATCGTTTACTTTTTTACTCTATTTTTCACATTGTTTCAATGTTTTTACATATATAATTATATATATATATATATATATATATATATATTTATATAAATTATATATATATATATATATATATATATATATATATATATAAATTGTTAACTATATGTCTAGTCCTTCTTTTTGACACTTTTAATTCGTCAAATCGCGACAACTCTAATTCAAATAAAAAAAATGATATAGGACTTTTTGATCTGCAGAGTTTACTTCTTCGCATTACTATTGCTCCTGTATATACAGAGTGGCCCCGAACGTTCCAGCCAGACTTTGAGATCTTATAGGAAATTTAATTCTGAAAAAAAATTTCCTATAAACATGGGAGAAAATGCTTCCTTAAGAAGTTATCGCTCAGAAAATCCTTAAGAAGTTATCGTTCAGAAAATGAAACTAAATAAATTTCTTGAAAAAAACGATAAAAATAAAAAATAAAAATCTTTTTCTTTTATGAAAATAAAGTAAAGTTATACTTAAATAAGTTAGTTTAAAAAGATTTTTATTTTTTATTTTTATCGTTTTTTTTTTTTCAAGAAATTTGTTTAATTTCATTTTCTTTTTATTTCATTTTCTTTTCACCTTTTGCTCTTCCTCCATCGGAGGTTTTTTTTGAGCGATAACTTCTTAAGGAAGCATTTTTCGACCCATGTTTATAGGAAGTTTTTGTTCAGAATTAAATTTCCTATAAGATCTCAAAGTCTGGCTGGACGGGGGTCTGGTTCGGGGCCACCCTGTATATCTATTTTTTAAATAACACATTTTTAATATAAATATAATAATACACAATATATATGTAATGAATACATATGTGCAGGTGCCTAAAAATAAATCAAAGGAACCAAGAAAGCCCCCAATGCCAAATGTACGAGAAGTCGAAATGCAAAATTGGAAACGTCGCAAAAGCTATGATCCCATGAAAGCGGCAATGGAAGGACGAAAAAAAGCGGGCTTGGCAAAGAAAGCTATCAATACAAATCTATCACCAAGGTAAGTTTGTAATCAAGTCAGCTTTGCATAAAAGAAGAAATAATAAAGAAATTTTCTCAAACAAGTTCAAAAGTCATTATAAAAATGTCTTCTGGACTCTTTCACATTATCCGGATTTCATCATTCAACTAATTGAAAAGATGATTTTATTGTTATTAGGACCAATAGCGATTGATAATTTAAAAATAGTGTGGCAAAATAAGCAAGTGGTGTGTAGCATAAAATTGTTTCAACATTTCATGCTATATATTCTCTCAAGAGGTACATCTCTAAGATTTATAGATAATTCTTTTGCTTTTTAAAAAATGAGACCTTTTACTGACACATGCTTGTTCTTTGTATTGCACTAACTCAGAGTGTCCAGCCAATTTGAGATTTCCAAAATGATGGAAAAGAGATATTATGTGTGCCTTGATTCTGCATTAATTTATCCATTTTGCAGTTTTCTTTTCTTTTATTATCCTTTTGGTCTTATCAATTATAACGCTATAATTACATAATACATAATCGAAAAATTGTATTGAAGAAATGTTATAATTGACACTAATATAATATATAATTATTTAATTAATTTTTGTTTAATATTTAATTATTAATAAATTTTGTTTAATATTGAAATGAACAATATAAATATGCATTATTAAAATTGCTTTTCTTTTAATAAGATAGTATGTAAATAAAATGCAAGATATTTGCATTTTTTATTTTCCATAATTTAATGGATATATTATTACATGTATTTATATTTGATTTTAGCCATGTAGCGAGATCGCAAAGTTTTCACGGATCAGTAGGATTAGCAGTCAGCGACTGGAGTGATGAAGAACCGGTCATATCCGCAGATGAAGCCTCTCTATATTAGGATTGTCTCAGAATTGTGGGTAAACGAACAACTAGTGTAATGGTAATATAAAAGCCAATTACAAAAATTCTTGTATATAAATCGTAAGAATGGATAAATTTTACAGGATGTTATGTATAAGAAAATGAGCGCTCCTATATACCTATATTTAAAACGATTTTAGCGAGATACAAATGTAATTCTACTTGAAAAATTCTCTTATATAATATAAATTTGTAAAATGAATCTCGCATGTTTATAAAAATTTCTGAGTTAAAAAAATGGTGCTTCCCTGTCAAAGGTGATACTTAAAAATTATATGCTGAGGATTTTGCTATATTAATGTTAAAACATCCAATTGCTTTATTTATTTTTTTATTGTTCAATTGTATTTGTAAGGAAAAAGACGTTCTCTTTTTCTTTTCTCAATTCAATTTATATTTCTCATTATATATAAAGAGCAAAATATTGCCTAGACGTAGTTAAACAGTGTTTTATATGGATAATGATATTAGAGAAAGAGAAAAAAGAAATATATAAAGGAAAATCTCACATGCAAGATGTCCTAATTATCAAGTGAAAAGATGTGCAACGATATATACGATATGTACGATATCTATTTATGTAGAGAGTATTAAAAATATATCGAGAAATATGTGTGTGTCATTGGTTTAATTACGATTGGACCAATCGCGTAGCGTTTATGTACAAATATTTGTATCTACATCGCATCTTGTTCCATCGATGCAGCCAATTTATCTAATTATAAGATATACATGTCCTCGCATTATTCGAATAATCTAAGGAGAATTTTTTTTCATCAAAAGCAAAAACCTGAGAAAAGTCTTCATAAATCTGTAAATCTTTTTTTGTCGTATTGATCAACGTTATATGTACATCATTGTTTGTAATTGTCAATACACACTCACATCGATGCTCGCGATTCCTTTCTGTTAGAATAATATTGATATAGAAAAAATAACGTGCTACACAGTGTGTCTGTTTCAAAGCGCATAAATAAATTAAAATTTTCTCTTTACGATAATTTAATGTGATCATAAAGAGCTTTACAATAATCTTAATCATTAAGATGTATATATCAATGTCACTCAGTTTAATTGTATATTTTTTTTTTCAATTTTATGTGAAAACTAAAGAATTTTTCTATGATTTGATTCTCTAAATTAAATTATCTCTGTAACATATTCGAGCAGGTAATATTAGATGACACATTGATATAACATAAGACATATTTTATACATGAATACTTGTTTAGAAAATTGTATCACTTGTTCATCATCATACACACACATATATATATATATATATATATATATATATATATATATATATATATATGCTTGTTATTCTCATATAAATTTAATGAAAATTTTATCTGAATTTTCTAGAGAATTTTGTAAAATTTATTCAAATTATTGCGTATACTATGAGCATTATGATAAAAGTTATATTAATGCTTTCTTTATTGCATAATTCTTAATGTAAGTTCCATTATCCTCAAGTAATTTTTCAAACAGTTTCTTCTTTAATAATTATATAGTATTTGTTCTTCTTTAATAATATTAAATTATATTTTCATTACAAAATTGGAAGTTTAGATTGAGATATTAATTTATATTTTTTTGTTGATGTAATTTATAGTATATTTATTAATTTACAAGATATTTTTCAACATGTAATTATGTAATAAAGATTACAAAAGAATGTGATATGACAAGATTAAAAAGTTACTGAGTTGAACATGATAGTAATATAAATTTGTTTGTTAGAAATTATTAAATAAATGATAGCTTCCATATTTATATAAGTTTTAATTTCTATATGTATTTGATTCTAGAGATTCTATGTTATACAAAATTTGTTAATATTATTACAAATAACATAAAAATGTGATGTGTTTATATATTAAAATTAAAATTCGTTTTTAAATATATTCGATCATTTATGGCAAAATAATTAGATATCTTTCTTTAAAATGTATTATATTCTGCGAGAGAAAACATTTAATTATTTAATAGAAAGAATTTATTTATTTCATCCTCGTGTAAATGTCGCATTTTAAAAGTTGGTCCTTTCGTTAACAAACTTGTGCATGTAATTAAAATGATACGATTTTGCGATTGTACAGTCTTATAATGCTCTGCATATTCATTTTGGTTTTTTTTTCTTTTCTTTTCTTAAAGAAAAATGGGCTTCCAATGTGCACACATAAACACAGATCATTATATCTTCAAGATAGATACATCAAAGTACATAAAGTGTTGCATGGGCATATTATATTATTTTAATTTTATAACAGGAAATATGAGGATTAAAAGAATTATATTCTAATTTCTTTATGCGACTTGTTGTGATGTTAGTTATCCATTGTATATAAATATACAATAAACACAGAGAAGTCTGAATTATTCATATTATGAAAATTGATAAAAAAATTTTTTAAATCCTCTTTTCTAGATTTATTTATCAAACAACAATATGTATTTTATTTTGTCAAAAATTTTTTAAAATAATTATTACTATATTTTAATATTTTTTATTATTAGCGACATTTTATATTATTTTCTTATTAATATGATCTGTGTATTGTGTTTTTCTGTACACATTGTATATTTTGTACACATGTAATGAGATATACATATGTATTTGGCATCTTGTTTTGTCATACGCTAGGAAGAACGCAGGCGCAGCAGCGTATATACAATTGTAATAAGAATGCAATATATTTTTGTATATTCAGAATCTACAGCTATATAAGCATGTTAAGTTCCATTCTACAATTAATTAAATTTTATTGAAATATGTACAATTGCGAAATATTATATAAAATAATGAAATATAACACTGCATCTTAAATAAAAGTGTTATTCAATTACAATAACATGTATATCATAATAATATGTAAGTAAATATAATAATAAAAATAATAATAAAAAATAATAATATGTAAGTAAATAACAATGCATGGACATGTACATTTATTTATGCATATATTAATATTATATTTGTTTATATTTAATTTGATTTTATTCGACTTTATATTATATACATTTATAAAATATATGAATGTTTGCATATAATATATCAAGTTGAATAAGAAATTATAATTATAATATTCAGAATAATTTCTTATAACATCAAAATCTTAAGGACTATCTTAATACTATCAATATGTACGAAAATAATCGACAATGAACATTTGAATTATCAAAATTGTACAAAATGTAAGGTCTAACATCAGTAGGTAAATTAGAATTTCTAAATTTCCCCTAACCGATAATTTCTTTGTAATATTAAATAGAAGATTATTAATATTACAACGATGTAAACAAATAAATTCCAATCACAGATATAAATAATTATTTATTAATATGTTCTTTTCTTATATTTATTGTTAATATTATTATTATATTTTAAAATATTCAATATATATAATAATTACTCTGCGAAATTATTTGCAAAATGATAAAGAACTTTTCTATTTAGTTTACTGTGTTCTACAGCATTTAATTTTCTAATATTTATAAAATATCGTATATCAAAGAGAAGCCTGAGAGAGACTATACCATCGTTTTTCGTGTGACAGTTTTATCAAGTATAGTGCGCTATATAAATCCATAATTGTATTTTAGAACGGAACTACATGACTAGATCTACTTTGTCAACTCATAATAATCACATATTGATTGCAATAATTAATTATTCCCAGTAAGCAAGAAACATTTGATCAACATTCTAAAATGTTGATTTTATATAAATTTTTTAAACATTATGATATAATATTTTATAAATAGTTTTAAAATATTCTAATAAACATATTAATAACATTTAAAAAATATTTTAATTTATGTTTTATAAATATTTTAAAAATGTTATTTAATAACATCCCTCTTAAAATATTAATAAAATATTTTAGAAACATTAGTCAAAATGTTTTTTATATGTTATTAATATGTTTATTATAAATAAAAATATAACATCCAGTTACAAGTTCGTTCGCGTTATTAAACGTCGTATTATTTATTTCATACATATCTTTAGACTATTTTTTTTTCATAATATATCTTAATTTCTTTCTCGTGACGGGCATGACGACACCTAATACGTTACTGAGAAGCAACATTCAGTGGGATATGCGTATACACTCTATTGCGTATGCGTGAGAGCCTCCGCACAAGGTGTTTCGTATCGCATTACGTTACGTTAAATATCAATGGTTTAATTTAATTCCGTACGTATTATATTCGCCCCGCGTTCGAATGGAGAATCGCGTCCAGATGTTCTCGGCGTGCGCGTAATCACTCTCTGATATAGTTTCACCGGTCAAGGAGCTGTAAAACGATTCGCGCGATGGTAAACGCGTATCTTGCAACTTGTCCACAGAGTCGATGTATTCGTACGGAAAGACGCCCTTCCGTGTTAATAAATTGAAATTTTCGGTTGATAAATTTTGAAATTCTGATTTTAAAATTTTGAACTTATCTTTATCTAAAAATGATGCCAATTTGTCGAGACTCGATGCAAGAAATTTGTATGAATCGATAAAACATAATTTTACTTGATTTTTCCATTTTTGTTTTCCTTAAGGTTAATATTTTTGGTAAACGATATATATTTTTCTTTCGTTATTGGAAGTAACTCGACTTTCCCTTAAAACGCCGTAGCTATATCCTCGATAATAAAATGTGCATTGTAACCGGATAAATTGTGAAAGACTATGGGAATACAAAAAGATTCTTTATAATTTAAATTACAATTTGAATGCGCGGGACCTCTGTACCGCCTGGTTAGATCGGGTGGCACCCGATTGACCACGTCGCCAATTGGCCAATTCAAAATAGGACTCTGTGATTGGTTAATTGTTGCTGGTTACCCTAGGCACAGGTCAATATAATTGGCTGTGGTCAATCGCAACGTGGTCAAACGGGATGCTCCCGTTAGATCGCGTACGCGTGTATCGTCTTGCACGAACGGTTTTTCGCATATATGACATTGAGTAGCGTGATAAAATTTTTTCCTTTGAACGTCAAATCTACCATGGGGACATTAGTCGATAAAATATTCTTTACACGTAACGCTAAATTTTTAAGATCTTCGACGAACCAAGAAACGCAATCGGCGCTACTGCGAGAATGGTACGCGGATAATGATTCGTCGTACGAGCAATATATATAATAGGCTATACTAAATACCCGATGGTGTTGATACAAATTTTGCTGTTCTTCCTTCATCTTGGCCAAAACGCATTCCAAGTCGGCGTACACGACGAATGGAATCCGCTCCTTCCGATTGAAATTGTTGAATTTGAGCCACTTGTCCTTATCGCTCGACAATCGGATAGCGCAGTCATTCATCTCACGTCAGTCGACCGTATGCGACTGCAACTTGTCATCTGAACTAAAATAATGCAGGCATCTGTAAAAGAAAATTTTTTTTTTAAATTAAGGTTTGAACAATTTGTTATATAAATTATAATTATTTGAATTATATAAATTAAACTTACCGGTCAGATATATTTCTTGTGATCTTTTTTGCTCAACTGTGAACCGATAAGTCGCGATAGATTCTTGATCCATGAAATGTCCGATGCTGTTGTTACTGTCTTCCATGTATAGCAAGTTGATGTGCTTATCTTCTGCTCAGAAAGACATACCGGAGCAATGTTGTTCTCTTTCTCGATGCTGTACATGTTGATCGAGATACTGTTTGCGAGTTCAAACTTTTTAATTTGATTTACAGTCACTGGAAACTCAATGTCCCGGAGATTCAGCACTGTCGCGTAATGCGGGTACGATTCTCGTTCCGCGTTCCTTTCTGCGGGATATAGAGCGGCGACCACTGCCCACGCGAAACATGCATTGTCTTTCGATTGCACGTCAATCACCGCTCTCTTCGTCGCAATC